TTTATCTTTATGAACATTTATTGAGGTTTAATGTGTCAATTTATCTCATGATGTACAAATTGCACTTCAACCGCACTTAACTATCGAATAAACATGCTTGTCGACCAGTATTGACTATTGATGGCACACACTTGTATGGGAAATACAATGGTACATTACTCGTGGTTATGGGTAGTGATGCTAACAACCAACTCTTTCATGTGACCTTTGCAGTCTGTGAATAAAAGAATGAGGATAGTTGGCCATGGTTTATGGCATACATTAGGGTGTTTGTAACTAAAAGGGAATTATGTGTCATTTCTTATCTACATCCAGGTATTATAAAGGCTATGAAGGAGGTGGGCAGTAGTTGGGAGGAGCTCTTTGCGCACCATAGACTATGTATGCGTCATCTTGCATCGAATGTGCACACCCATTTCAAAGACATTCACACGATAAATCTGTTTGTATGGACCGCACGACAACATCAGAAAGAAAAAGTTTGATGGTGGGTTCAACAAGTTAGGCGAAATGCGGTTGGAGACACGACAATTTCTGGGGAACATTCCCTTGGAAATGTGGTGATTACACCATGATGAGGGGTACAAATACGGTACCATGACTTCTAATATGACTGAAGTTTTCAACAGTGTGATAAAAAGTGCCTGATAATTGTCCATCACAGCTTTGGTTCGGGTTTCCTTAACCGCGTCAATGCATATTTTGTGGATAGACGTTAAAATAGTAAAAGAAGAGTGACAGAAGGCCCCAAGTACACCCCATACATAATAAATATCATTGATAAGAATAAGGACAAGGCAAAACACCACATTGTCTCTGCATTTGATATAGGCTGAGAGCTATACCAAGTGGAAACGGGATGTGGCGGCCGAACAATGGGAAAGGGTGGGAAAAAAGCAAACTGTTAATTTACAGAAGCGTACTTGTAATAAGGTGGAAATATATAAGATTATGTGCTCCCATTTATTAGTTGTGTGCAGACAACGTAGTTTGTCTTATCATACCTTTGTGGATCCTTTTTTCTCATCTTCATAATACGCCGCTTCATATCAAAGAGTTTTTAAACCCATTCCTGACCGTGCTTATTGGCTGACTTACCTTCTTGCAAAGGGACAACCAAAGTCTACACGAATTAAGAATGAGATGGATGAAAGTGGCAGAGGAACCGTTAGATGTGGAATATGTAAACAAACCGGCCATAATAGGACCACATGTGCAAAGAGATCTTCAGGAGATGGTGAGGGTCCACTGGGTAAGGTTTTAATTATTAAAATCCACAAGTCCTACTAATGTGAACCAAAAAAATGATGTAAAATTATTAATTAATTAATGACTAACAAACGTTTTCATTTATTGTAGGCACTCTGGAAGTCTCAGTGGATCCAGGGTCGATTGATTGTTCTGTTCTTACATTGCAGACCACGCATAGGACTGAGGACGTGTGGAGTGGCCTCGATGTGCAGGTTGATAGGTGTTAAGAGCACCTCTGTAGCTTGTCCCACGTGCAGGTGGACAATATAGTGTTAGCGTGTGTTAGAGCAACGGTTTTTTTTGTGGTGTTCACAAGTTGGTGGCTACTGTCCCACTTGATAAAGCTCTACTTGTTGCTCTTCTTAAGCATTAGAGGCAGGAGACACACACATTTCACCTTCCAATTGGTGAGGTGACTGTATTGACGGGCTTACAAGTCCATGGGAGAGCGGTTATAGGTATAACATGTCGACCATGGGTTGAGGATGTGGAGCGATTGTTAGGTGTTCGCCCCCTTCTCCAGACAGGCATCCGTGGGTCATCTCTAAAGATGTCATGGCTGAAGGAGCATTTCGTTGTTCTTCCTCCGGAGGCTGATGAGGTGATGATTCAGCAACATGCACGGGTATACATTTTGATGATGATGGGAGCTTCCATTTTTGCTGACAAGAGTGGAAATGAGGTTCGGGTGCTGCCCTTGCCGATGCTAGAGAGATTTGATGTAGTTGCATACTTCAGTTGGGATAGTGCCACTCTAGCATATATGTATAGGCAGTTGTGTTAAGGTTGTCAAAGTGGGGGCACAGAGTTTTTTTTCTTTTGTTACAGATTTGGTCATGGGAGTACATTCACATTGGGCGGCCCATTATAGTATGATACCATGGGCTAGATGGAGACACACTTCATGACCAGCCTCCACGTCTCCTTGGACCACATCATCGACGGGGCGAGGACCCTATGGGGCGTCAGTATGTTTTAGAAGATTATATTTATGTTTTTGTATGTTTTGAATAATTATATTAATTATATTTATATTATTATATACTACATGAATAATTAGATGGCAATTTGTTAAGTTGATATTTGTCGCACATCATCGACTTCTAGAGTCGGTTTCTATAGGGATGCATTTGATCGCATGCCCGATGATCAGGTTTGGTGTACATAATATAACATTAACTATCATATGAATAACAGCAAGACTAATTTTTTATCCTTTTGAAACAGATTACATGGATCCATATACAACCCAGATGTTAGAGGAGTTGGCCCCAGCAGGACCAGAGCATTATAATATATGGCGAGTACGTGCCCCGTTGATATGTTTTGATATTGTGGAGCTTCATTTATCTCATCGTGTACTGCGTCTAGGGCTGGGACTTTGGAACCAAGAACCGAAGAACCGAACCGGACCGAACCGTTCTGACCCGGTTCGGTTCGGTTCCAAAATTTATTAGTTATTTGTTAATGGTTCGGTTCCTACTTTTTATTAACGGTTCGGTTCTCGGTTCCTGTAAAAAATATGTACGTGGAACCGTTAAAGAACCGTTATATATAATAATTAAAATTATATATATTTCTTATTAGTATATATATTTTAATGTATATTTACTTATCTATTTTCATAATACATTCACTATTTTAGTTTAGTTATTTAACTATTTGAAATTATTTTTCATTTAACTGGTTTTATTGGGCTTCTTTACCGAGTATCTTGTTTTGTTTTTGTTTTCTAAAATTTGCAGTTTGTTATGTATTCATCTTTTAAACTCAACTTTTGATGTTTGAAACGAAGTTCAACATATTTGTATTGTAATTTCAAGCGTTGAATGTGTTTTTGACACAAATTTAACCGTGATTTGTAAGATTTTTTTTAAATACTAGGAACCGTTAAATGACAAGAACCGAACCGTTAAGAACGGTTCGGTTCCTTATCGGTTCTACAAAATAATTTATAAGAACCGAACCGTTAGTAAAATTTCATATTTTCAAACGGTTCCACATATTTCGCCTAGGAACCGAACCGGTCCCAGGCCTAACTGCGTCAGGTTGGCTATGAGCAGGTCATTATAGCAGTTATGGACACATATGTGGATCTTCATAGGCTGGATAGGCGTGGGAAGGATACAGAGGATTGGCCGCTTAGACGTGTGCGATATGACGCTATATAGGATAGGCGAACAGAGCTTGTTGTGACTGGGACGTCGACATTGTTCCCATCTATTTTTATAGACTACATGAGATGGTATTACAGCATCACACGGTTGTTTGTCTCTCCTTTTTTCAGACTCCCTACTCACCATTATCAACCTAGTTCCATGGCTTTGCACTTGACGGTGAGTGTGCTACTAATTACTAAAGTATTTCATGTTCTTTATTTAACATTTTTATTTATTTCAAAATAATTATAATTCATGTTTCACATTTCACACATGGGCTTTGCAGCGTATACATGAGCGAGCGACTGCCACTGTGAGTGATACGCATGACGCTGACATGTACGATCAGGTTCTGATGAACATTGCCTTAGGGATGGACTCGGGCCGGGCCAACCGGCCCGGAACCGGACCGGCCCGCTTCTGTGCGGGCCCGGACCGGCCCGGTGAACCGGTTCGGTTCCGGTTCGGGGCTCCCGGCCCGGTGGTATACCGGTCCGGGCCCGGGCCTCCAGTTTAGTGAACCGGCCGGGCCGGGCCCAGTTCGGGCCGGAATTTATTTTTTTTTTTTTTTGAAATTTTTTTAAGTTTTGGGTTGGATTAGGTATTTTGGGCCATTTGAGGTGGTTTGGGGTGGTTTGGGGTGGAGGGGGAGGGGTAGGGGGTTAAATAAGAGAAGAAGAAGAAAAAAAAACATTCCGGGTGGCCCGACCCGGCCCGGCCAGGTTCTGGCCCGGAACCGGAACCGCCCACCACCGGTTCGGGCTCGAGCCTCCTTTTTCTGAACCGAGGCCCGGCCGGGCCCAGGCCCGAACCGGAACCGGTCCACCCCTACATTGCCTCCTTATGTTCCGAGTGGTGGGGCGAGTGGACTATGGCCATCTTATACATATGACCCCCTCTCAGAATTCTATGGGATTGACATCTACCACAACAACAACTTCTACATCTCAAACTCAACGTGACAGAGTTGTTCTTCAGTCACTTCAACGGCGTATGCGTCAACAACCACAACTCCATGACCATGACGATCAAGAAGACCATGAAAACTTGTAATCTGTCCCCATTATTGGACTTATTCATGTACCCCGAATGTTGTAGAATTTTTTGAATTTGTCAAACACTTTACTTTATGACGTATGTCCACCTGCAAAGTATTGGATATTAATTACTTAATCATTTGTTTATGGTGTGTTTATGCGTTGGGTTATATATAGGATGGGAAACGGAAAGTGAAGCTTAGTTTATGTGTTGGGTTAATGTGTTGATGTTACTAGTCTTATGTTTTGATATGTGTTTGTGACCATGTGTTATCAAATTATTGTCTTATATTTTGATCCGTTTTTTGATACTTTATGTTTTTGCAGGCGCAGAAGAAAGTTGTCAAACGATTTGGCAACTTTCCCCGACTCAGATTAACGCCAACAGTAGATTGATATAACTTTTAACCCAACATTATTTCTATAAATAATTATTTTCCGCATTAATTCGAAAAAAAACTCAACAGTTTTCAGTTAGTTCCCCAGCTTATGGGCTTGTGATCCGGCCCTTTAACCAGGTCAACCAATGTAGTCCAATTGTCCAAATGATACGTACAGGGAAGGGTGGTTTAGTGACCCATGTTTGTTTGCAGGATGACGTCGTCCGCCTATATAAAGTGCTCGGCAAATTAGGGTTTTAGAGTCCCAGTTTACGAGATCCCATCGTCTTCTCTGCGTAGCTCCAGCGGGAAAATGTCGATCGGAGAAGTAGCCTGCACTTACGCCATTCTGATTCTCCACGAAGAAGGCATCCCCGTCACTGTAATACTCACCTTTCATGATCTCAATCTAACGGACTATCTCTGTTTCTATATCTCCGGAATACTGGTTGTATTAATTGTGTGCTGTTGTGCAGGCGGAGAAAATTGCTACCGTTGTTAAGGCGGCCGACGTTCAGGTGGAGTCGTACTGGCCCGGCCTCTTCGCCAAGCTCTGCGCGAAGAAGAACATTGATGACCTCATCTTGAACGTTGGCGGTGGTGGTGGTGCGGCCCCCGTTGCCGTTGCTGCCCCCTCTTCTGGCGGCGCCGCTGCTGCTCCTGCCGCTGAAGAGAAGAAGGTGAGTATACCTATTAAACATCCGCAGTTGTTTAGCTGTTTGTGTATATTTGCGCCATTTGATTTCAAAAGCATCTATAATTTGCTGAGATTAGTAATTGAGTAAATTTGTTTGTTTTCAGGAGGTCGTTGAAGAAGAGAGTGATGAGGAATATGGAATGAACTTGTTTGATGATTAGAGTTTTAAAGTTGTTTTGTAATGTTAGATTTTTGCTCTGCATACCTTTTCTTTTTGTCAAATCTATTTTGCTCTTCACTTGGGGCAAACTTTTGTACCCTATCATGGTTGAATTTTATGCCAATGTTTCAGTGATTCTACTAATTTAATGATTAAAATTGGTTGCTTTTATTTTATCTGGAATTGAGAATCATATAGCGCATTGTTTACTGTATTCTGATGTTTCGTTTTGTATTCCTTATGGTTGCTTATTTGTTTTTTCTTGAGTTTGAGTTTGTTATGTGCACAAAGTTGATCTAGTTAAATCTATTCTGTGAACAACATATGCACACCTAAACACTTGCGGTTGTCTAACTTTTCAAAATCACCTTTTAAATCTCAACTGACACTCTTTCATGGCTAAAAACTAACAAAGCTGCTAGGTGTACACCCAAATTCTCTGCGTCACTAACAAGTTTAGACAGTCTTAGATACAAATTGCCTTGTGTCAATATCCCTTATTGTTCGTGTCACTAACAAACTTAGATAGTTGGATGTTTTTACTTGATTGAAATTTGTCAGTTTGAGCTTGTAAATGATTGGGCACGGTACATTTTATAACTATCTAAGGCTGGCCTTGGACTTAATAGTTCAAGTAAAAACATTTTCAAACTAGGAAGTTAATTTAGACATTCTTTCAAACTAGGGATTGAGCTGACAGTTTTTTTAAAGGACTAGATTCGCACCCGTGCGATGTACGGAACATAAATTTAATAATTATTAGTTATATTAGTTAATGTACAATAAAAGTTATAATATGTCAATATGAATACATTATTAAAATTAGTACATCGTATCATAACAGTATAAATCTAATGTACAATAAGAAATTATAATTCAGGAAAAGCTAAAAAAAAATTAGAAAATTAAATTAAATTATCATTATCATTAATCACATGTTAATGATAGCATTATTAAATTAAACATTTTTTTAAATATGATTATCGTAATTTTATTGTATACAAAGCTCCGTGGAAAATTTGGCAAACTTGCCGCCAAAAGATACGGGGCAAAAAAAGGTCTTGAAGGGGTCAACCCGGTCTTGATTATCGCTGTGTACCAAAAACCGGTAATTGGTGCTGACAAAGAACCAAAAATCATGCTGCGGTGTGGCTCTTGTTAAGTTTTGGACCTATGAGGAAGAGAGGCGCACTCCACAAGATAGTCATGGCAAGGAGTCTACATGTGGCAGCGCCATGTGGGTGCCGTTCCCATTGTTTGGGAGCATATTTTAACATGTTCATCTAATTACTTTTGAGAGTTGGTCATAAGTACTAATTAACCACTTCGCTTGCCCATGGTATAAATTTAAAGCTCCTGCCCTAGTGGCAGGAGCTGTACGAGTATAAGAGGCCGTTTGGTAACACTGTTTTTCAGCTTATCAAACTTATGAGTCAACTTTTTCACCAAACACGTAACTTTTGTTTTTGGGTCCTGAATCGTATAATAATAATAAGAAAAAGTAAGGTTAAAGTTAGTTTTCTGTCTGTATTGGCTGAAGTTATGACTATTTTAGCTATTTCACATATAATTTTTTCTTTATTTTATCAATAAAATATATTTTAAATTTTTTTTTTCTTAAATCAGCAGAATCAGCCAATGCAATTACTTCAGCCAAAACTTCATAAATTTCAGCAGAATTAATTGAATCAGCCAATTTTCGTGTTAACATACAAGCTCTGAAACTACAACTTCATTAAAGTTGATAAACTTCATAACAAACTTTAGTTTTGACTTCTGTATAGGGGTGGAGCCGGTCCAGCAATGTTTTGGACCGAACTGGGTCTGGAAAATCCAGTTCGGGCCTAGGATTGCCCATATCCGCCCAAGCATGATACCTACTTACTTGATCGCGATTAAACCTATTTGGGGAATGAACCAGGTAGTTATATGGTGTTAATTTCGGTCTTGAACCGGCTATTCTTTTCTTTGGAAACGGGGTTAAATGAAAAAAATAGACATGGACCGGGACCGAGACGGCCTAGGTACTCGGAACCGGTCAAGACCCGGATTTAACCGGGTCGGACTCGGGTTTGTACCACCAGCGACTAAGATCGGCCAGTCTGTACTGTGACCGGGACCAGGGCCGGGTCCACCCCTACTTCTGTATATCCTTAAAACAAACTTCAAGATAAACTCTAAAACAAACTTTCTGCGTTTCTTTATTATGAAGTAGTGGTCAAATTCATGAATTTTTGAAGCAATTTTCACTTTGAGTCATCCGAAAACAGTCTCGTTGTGCTTTAAGACTGCGTACATCCGACCCCCCTACCCCACCGTAGGCGGGGAGCCTTTGCGGCACTCGGGTAATGAAGAAAAAACTTTAAAACAAACTTCAAAACAAGAATATGATTCTTTTTGGATATTAAGTTATTTTTGAGCTACTTTAAATGAGTAACTTTATATTTTTTTTTATTAAAATGTGGTTATTTTACTCATTTTGTGGTGGTTGACTGACAGATTTTACAGTATAGCTCATTTATTTATCATGTGGGGGCGTCCTAAGTGTGTCATGACTCATCACTTCATCAGGAGGCATTAACCTCAAATCGCCATGACTTTGGCTATTCGCCAATCTCCATGAAAACTAATCAAATATGCTTTCCTTTCAAGCCTCAAATCAGTGTTCTAAAACACGCCCAAAAGCATCGCCTACGCTCGCATAGGCGTGATACGCAGCTACAACGCCTCGCATACCTTATATGCGTGTACTAAGGCATCAAAATTAATTAGAAGCTAATCTAAAAGGGAAAATCGCATATATGGTCCCTCAGTTGTCCACGAAATTGGGAAAAGTATTAAATAAGCCCCCTGTACTATGCTGAAAAAGTCGATTAGGCCCTCGTACTTTACAAACACTCAATTAAGTCCTCAAACTATTAAAAAAAACGTTCAATTAAGCCCTTTTGGTCGGTAAGTAACCGGTTTCCCGGTTAAACGGCAACGGCGGCGGCAATGTGCTCGAACCCCAGCAACAGCGGCTGCCGGGAAACGGGTTACTTTTCACCGGGAAACCGGTTACTTACCGACCGAAAGGACGTAATTGAACGTTTTTTAATAATTCGAGGACTTAATTGAGTGTTTGTAAAGTACGGGGGCCTAATCGACTTTTTCCCTAAAATCTCAAACCTGTATTTCTGAGATTGTAAATGTCACCCACCAATTGTCCAAAATGGTGTAAATGTGATCATTTTGAAGAGTGAAATATACAATGTAGGCGATAATACATTTCACTACTCAAAGGACCAAATAACAATTCAGACAACCAAGGAATGACATTTACAATCTCTGAAATACAAGTCTGAAATTTTAATTTCGTAGATAACTAAGAGACCATATATGCTATTTTCCCTGATAAACTTTACACTGGTTGAAGAGGCCCCACCATGCTGGCTTGCTAGGACCTCCTTTGTCAATCTAACTCGTCGCTGCAATGAATTTATAAAGTTGTTAGGAGGATGGATCGCTATATATTGTTACGGTGTGGGATAATTTGAAACCATACAAAAGGAGGGCACAGGTCGGAGGTTTGTGTTTATGAGCTTTGAGCATTAGTCATTGTGAACTTGGGAAATTAAAAACTATATCCTACTGAATCAGCTAGCTACACAATATTGATTGACTATAATTATTATTACTATTATTATTTTACCAATCAACTTCTTTTTCACTTCTTGCTTTTTGTAGTGAGTAAACCTACTATTTGTGTTCTTGAGATGTTTATTTCCATTGAAAATTTGAAGTGTGTCTTTTTATTAATAATTTATGATACGTAGTATGAGATTTACATATTAACTATGAAAAATCACACTTTCAGTCCATCAAATAGTACGAGGTTGGAAATGTACTCTCCGTGTTTTAAGTTTGTAAATGTTACATCTCAATTGTTATTATAAGTGTGATCCTTTGTATGGTGACATTTACAACGTGGGCAGGGATCACATTTACACCAATTCAAACTGATGACATCTACGCATTTGAAAAGACGGGTACACCATTTTGATGTGCACTATTTGAGAGATCGAGAGTGCGATTTTCCCTACTAAAATAAAATTTATGGATAAAAGTGTCACTACAGTTACTATAAGTATAACATTATAGTCACTTAAAAATAAAAATTTAACATAATGTAGTCCAAAAAATAGATACTATAATTACTACACTGGAGTCACTTTTTGTCCATTATCTTTGCTTTTATAGTTTAAGTATTAACCTAGAAAAAATTAAAATAATGGGTAAAAAACTAAAACGACTTTTTACGCCTAGACTTCGCCTAAACTTACCTAGGCTTCAAAGGGTTCAGACTTGGTTGTGCTGGCTCCAATAAATCGGCAATTTTGAAAAGCACCATTTTATTTACTCCGTATGTGTTTTCCTTGGCTACTGTGAAAGGATAGTGAGTAAAAGTTTTTACTAACTTGCTTCTTGGGGTGTTCTAGATTGGCAATTCAAATAACTTTGTAAATTTGCTTTATGATAAATACATGGAATATTTTGTGTTAATCTTAATAAAAACAAAATATTTTGTGTTCTTGGTCAAGGACAATTAACTTTGACAAATGATATTTTTCAATGCGAAACTATTTTGAATCTGAAAATTATATCAAAATGTTCCTTATTCAAACTATTTTCCTAAAAGTATAAAATTTAGTAATCACATAAAAATATAATCACTAAAATCATTGTCCAAAGTTTGGTATCATTGATCAAGAAAAGTCAATTTAGCAAACCTTTCCGTGACGAAGGTAGTATAAATTACATTAATTGATCTGTAAATATAAATGTTTTTTGTTTGGGGCCTTCAAGTTTCTCAAGCCGCCCATGCGCCTCGACCCGCCTTACGCCTTTTAGAACACTAGCCTCAAAGCATAACCTTTCTTGTTTGAAACCTGCATGTGAGACTAGGGATATAAACTATCCTAAAACTTCATTGCCTTCTTTCCTTTTTGCCAATGTAGATGACCTTGATGGCCCTAAAATCAGTTATGGTTACATTTTGCAGCTAACTAGCTGATTATTCGTTGGATCACGAGAACTTGTCCAAATTTTCAACATTGAGTAGACTACTTTTAAGGAGGATCGTAGTTGCAAAATTTACCAAAAAGATGCTAATGTTGGGTGGATAGCAGCAATCTCCTCTCCCGAGATTGAAACATTGGACTAGCGAAATCCAAATGCCTACCTAATGTTTAATTTTACCGCTTCATTGAGTGTCCCATTCTTGTAGTTCTCCTTTTAACATATTCCGTAT